TCCTCTTCGGGGTAGTAGCAAAATAAACATAAGCGGACTATCGCCGAACGTGTAAGAGAACACATAGCAGCGGTCAAAAATCGTCAAGTGGAGAAGTCCGCGATTGCAGAGCACTTATTATCATCTGGATCAAACCACTGGATCGAGTTACATACACCTCATGTCCTTTCCACTGAACGACATTACTATCCAAGGATTGTTCGTGAAGCGGTTGAAATCAAAAAACACAACAATTTCAACCGGGAAAGTGGATATAAACTCTCACCAACGTGGAATCCGGTTATAAAAATGTATAAGTGTCGCGATCGCAAACAACCACGAACAGTATTCTCGGATACCGTAAGTGCAGTGTGTCGCCACCTTTACGTATAATAAAATCAAGTGGAGGGTACATCTGAAAATCAGTTAAAAACATTATTACCGGATTACCCTCAACTAAAATCAGAAGACGACACCCGCCAGTTCTCCAGTCTCCTCGTGACCACGGCTGCTGTAACGTAGCCGAAACGTCGAGGTAAATTAATTGTTTTAAAAAATGCACGAACAAGACCCGATTGCATATAATTATAATGTATACAAATCGTGTGAGTTTAAAAATATTATTAGCAAACCGATACGGGCCGGAAATTGCAAACAAAGTGCGCCATCTAGAATCGTTACGGAAGAAAAAAGTGAGGTTAGAGACTTCATCAATTTTTCTAACAAAATGTCGTGATAACGGTTTGATACCTACGTGCGTTCGTATTAAGCCGCGTGTACACATAGCACATTCCAGTGACATTCTACGGAGCGCGAGTGTTCGTCTTCTTAAACAACTGATACGTAACGGTCATCGTGAGTTGGACAGTGTACAGCGTGCCCTTTATAAAGTGCATAGTGAGTGTGTGTCCGAGCTATCGTACAGTGATTTTGAGTTATGTGATCGCGTAACGTATCAGCAAGCAAGCAGAATTTTCGAGTTATCCACGCAAAAGCATGAACGTAAATTCGAAAAATTGCTGTTTCGTAGTGGAAGATCAAGGATCACTGGGGAGTCAGTTGATGACGTCATCAACTTATCTGATACTACACTTGACGGTGCCACTCGCAGTGTTTTAGCAAAGGGACTGAATTTTGCTACTACCCCGAAGAGGATACCGTATGAACATATCATCAGCAGTATAGAGGAGACAATAGTTCGTAATAAGGTACCAACTGATGATGCCGACGCTTTGAGGCAAGATGTCGCTATCGTGTTACGTAAATCCAAAGTACCTAAGAGCAACGTCACGAGCGAAGAGCGTAGAGCTCTTAAAAACTTGAGAACTAATAAGGACCTTCTCGTTCTCAAGGCCGACAAAGGCAACGCTACCGTCGTGATAAATACTAGCGATTACGACTCCAAAATACTTGCTCTGTTGCAAGATGATAACATATATAAGCCGGTATCGTACGATCCAACTGCGAGAGTTACAAGGAGAATACGTGCTGTTATCAGGGATTATAAACACCTTTTCACCGAGGACATCTTTGAGAACCTATACAAGCCGAAGATAGTACAACCACCAAAATTATACGGATTGCCGAAAGTGCATAAGGCCAGCGTTCCACTGAGACCGATTGTGAGTCAGATTGACTCACCTACTTATTATTTGGCAAAACACGTTGCTTCCGTACTGCAACCCCTTGTGGGCACTACAACATCTTTTGTGAAGGACTCGCGTCATTTTGTACAGATCCTTGATGATACAAAACTGGATCCGGATGACGTAATGGTGAGTTTTGATGTTGAGTCGCTGTTCACCAAAGTTCCAGTTAAGGACTGTCTAGAGGTTGTTAGGATGAAACTTAGACAAAACGATATACCGGAAGGGTACATGGTTCTATTACGGAACTGTTTAGATGGCAGCTATCTTCTATATCGCGGCAAACATTACCTTCAAGTTGATGGTGTCGCCATGGGTAGCCCCGTAGCGCCACTTTTGGCCAATATATGGATGGAACATGTCGAGTCATTGATAGATTACCAGTCACATGGGATCCGTATGTGGAAACGGTATGTAGACGATGTGTTCTGTATCCTGAAGGGCGACAAACCGGAGATTGAGCAGTTCCTTACACACGTCAATAATATCCATCCGAATCTCAAGTTCACCTATGAGTTAGAGAGTGACAAAACCTTACCCTTTCTGGACGTTAAAGTCATGGCGCAAGCTGATGGGTCCCTGAAACACACTGTCTACAGGAAACCAACACACACAGACAAGTACCTCCACGCTTCATCTCATCATCATCCTCAACACCTACGTTCTGTGGAGACAACTCTTATTAACAGGGCTAACGCATTATGTAATACTGACTTCTTAGCAGATGAGTTGTCCCATGTACAGGACGTGCTAAGGAAAAATGGATACAGCGCAAGGAGGTCATACCCTATCCGAAGGTGTAAGGAAAGACTACCTAAGGTTCCCAGGCAACGGGCATTTTTAGGCTATGTTAAGGGAGTAACGGACAAAATCGGTTCCATTTTGAGGAAAAATTTTTCTATAGACACCATTTTTACTCCTTTATCAAAAATGTCACACCAATTGCGATCACCAAAGGATAGTATTCCTTACCAAAAACCTGGCGTTTATAAAATTGACTGCAGCTGCGGTAGTTCATATATCGGACAAACGAAGCGGACTATCGCCGAACGTGTAAGAGAACACATAGCAGCGGTCAAAAATCGTCAAGTGGAGAAGTCCGCGATTGCAGAGCACTTATTATCATCTGGATCAAACCACTGGATCGAGTTACATACACCTCATGTCCTTTCCACTGAACGACATTACTATCCAAGGATTGTTCGTGAAGCGGTTGAAATCAAAAAACACAACAATTTCAACCGGGAAAGTGGATATAAACTCTCACCAACGTGGAATCCGGTTATAAAAATGTATAAGTGTCGCGATCGCAAACAACCACGAACAGTATTCTCGGATACCGTAAGTGCAGTGTGTCGCCACCTTTACGTATAATAAAATCAAGTGGAGGGTACATCTGAAAATCAGTTAAAAACATTATTACCGGATTACCCTCAACTAAAATCAGAAGACGACACCCGCCAGTTCTCCAGTCTCCTCGTGACCACGGCTGCTGTAACGTAGCCGAAACGTCGAGGTAAATTAATTGTTTTAAAAAATGCACGAACAAGACCCGATTGCATATAATTATTAAGCTGTTGCCGTCTCTAAGGCCACGGGTTGGACTGGCATTACGTATGAGTGTCGAGGTATCTTGTTGTTTCAGATACTCCCTAGATCCCAGACACGAGATAAAAAAAATGTATATAACCTAGCCTAAAAATTAATGTATTTCATTGTTTTCTAAACGAAACCAATGAGATTCACTGCTTTATTATTTGATTTGATTAGAATAGCAACGGGTCAGTTCGACCATTGTCTGGAGTTCAATTCTGAAATTCGAGATAGTGTACGAGGGCAACACAATTTTTCATTTGAAGTGATTGCTTCTATTCAAAATGCAACGCTATCTCAATAGAGCGGGATTGCTTTGTTATTCCACTGTGGATATTTCTCCTCCAATCTTTTCATATTTGATACTTACTACCAATCTAATCACTTTGAGAAAACTAGCATCTTTATACTTATTATTTTATTGTCTAAAACGAATGAGATATTCAGCATATTTCCTCAAAGAAATTATTATATTTAAGTTATTAAACTTATTCTTTTTTATAATAACTCAGGAGACATATACATATTTACAATAGATAAATAGGAAAACTCTGAATAATAAAATCTAAACTAGTGTGTCTAGCATTAAAATATTTGGCTTTTATTAACTGAAATTATGTCGTCGTGAAAATTTTGTCGAAATGAGCGATAATTTCTTAAGTTCACTATAGATCTGACTAAATATAAATTACATTTCTGTTTTTTTTTTTTGACCTGATATTTAATGTTTTTTTTTTTCATTAAACGAATAAATTAATCTAAATTATGAAAACATTACATACCATTCTTATCAAGAAATCTGACCAAAATAATTTGTTTTTAATTTTCATTCAGAGAAATGCCCGAGGGTATCGTTGCTTGTGTTTTTTTTTTACTTTGAGGCCAGGCAAAAGCTTATTCGTAATATATTTACCTAATGTAATAAGGTTAGATCATCAAAACGTTTGTCCTTTATTTTATAATCGTTTCTTTATCGTGAGAAAACAACAATATGACAAGGTAAAATGAATTTGATTCCAGCCAATAAAAATTGCTTAGATTAAGAATAATTATTGCTTTGTGCGAAGTGTAATTAAGTGGAAATCAGGGGTTAAGAGGAGACGTAAAGCCTAAAGATAATAATAATAATAATAATAAATAATAAATACTCTTTATTGCACAAACCATATTAAAATTAGATAAACAAACATAAATGAATACATGAAAACGTACAAAAGGCGGCCTTATCGCTAGGCAGCGATTTCTTCCAGGTTTCTTCTGTTTCTGTCTGTGTCAGGTGTAATGAGCTAGATGAGACAAAGGATGGCGGGGAAAATGGCTTTTTAATAATTACTCGCAAACTATAACGGTAATTGTAAAATATATTCTTCTGTATAATTCCCTCGGCTACTATGTGACTTCCAAATTTATCATATTTTCTCTATAAGAGATGGTAGAATTACTACAAGAAATAAAATACATGGTGACTTAGTGAACTTTGTAGTATTAAAAAAAAAAAGATGTTCACTCTCTTAATGATTCAGCTGCTGTAGAAAGTTTCATCTAACAAAGAGGAGACCCATCTATATATTTAAGCTCTATATAATACCACAAGTCTCCCTTTGATTTCTGTGATATGATTGGGTTAATAACTTCGTAATTAGGTACTAAGAGAATGTGGCTTTACCTTATGGGAATTTATTATAATAGTTGTATAGATAGAGGACACCCTCTGGAGGATACTCTGTGGTAAAGTAAAAAATAACGTGTACGGTAATATTAACGATGTGTATTTTATTGCAGGGCTCCTGTTCCACAGAGCAATACTAATGTCGGGATCAGGACTTAGTCCGTGGTCGCTGGTTGCAGATCCAAATAAGTACGCGGCAATTATCGCGACACACGCCAATTGCTCACCAGGTAACTGGAAAATTGGAGCTTATTGATTATACTCCAAGAGCTTTTAATGTTTTATAATACATACCACGTAATTTGCATCATAAAATAGAGGGAATGAATCAGACACAAGCATTATATCTCGAGCTTTTGAATTATATGCAAACGCAGTTGGTAAGAGTACAGCTAATGCTAGAAACTAATCATATTTCCTTCTCGTCTCCATATCATGCATTAATGTAATAGTTATTAGCGTATTGTGAATTACCTGCTTTAGTCTCCCATAAACTGTAAACAAAGTATTATTTGATAGAACACTTGCAAATAAATGGTGCATTTATACTTTATTTTGTGTTTTTATTGTATTAATAGACCAATTACTTTCAGAGCTCAAACAACCGGAACTGCTGAAGTGTTTACGAGAACGGCCGCTAGAAGCACTGCTTTCTGCACCAGTTCAAGTCCCTGACTTCTCGTATGCTTTCGGCCCTAGTGTTGATGGTGTTATTATAGGTAAGTGATTCGTTTCCATTATTTTTTCTTGCTTTTGCTGGTTAAGTTATTTATTTTATTTTTATAATAACGTCTTCTTAAATAGCTCAACTAGAATTGTTTAGTGAACAGGCATGTTTTCTAAAATACATAAAATCTTGAAACATGTCAGTTCCCTGTTTTATTTTTATTTAGAAAAGATATTATTATTAAAATCACGACTGTATTCATATCTATCACCATTTTTCCTGTTAGCGGAAGCAGGGTGAAAAATATTTGGACAATGTTCTTGGATAACAAACAGGCTAATTAAACGAAGAAACACTTTGGACTTTTTTGTGTTCTGATTGGGGTTTGTTTATACGAGAGATTTCCGGCTATTTTTGTTAATGTTCGTTATTTTTTTTTTTGGCGAGATTAATTTTGGAGAGTTTTTATGGCAAAAGATTCTAGGGCAAATACTATACAATCTTTAAAAAACTTTTATCGAGTGTTTTTGATTATTTATACACTATGTTAGAATAATAGCAATATCAATTTGTTTGAAAATTGGTTCCTTTTTTTACTACTTTTTAGATGACTGTAACTAGACTCTTTATTTTTTTTTCTTTTTTTAGTATTTTTTTTATTTTTTTTTATTCTAATTATTATTCTAATACCTTTAATAAAAAGATTCTTTTATTATCGCTATTCCCAGTAATACTTGAGTATATATTACATGTAGTGAACTTCTTTTATCGATATATCTACATATCTGGCTATGTTTATATCACCATTTACATGCCAGACGGATACTAAAGGTTATTTTACCTTGTCTAATATATATGAAGTATGTATAGTACTTTAACATATATGACAGGATAATACTTTCAACTGACATAAGTTGAATCTTGGACTTCAGAACTCATTCGTTCATACTTCGCTCGTTGTTTTCACCAAAGCCCCATGGACCAATTCGATTACACGACTAGTTCTGCGATCATTTCATTGCTCGATTAGTATGGACTAAAAATGAATGCTATTGATGTATGAATTTAAAATTAAAAAAGCACCGGTTTTACCAGCTGATATAATGTTCCAACTTCCATATTTAAACATTTTGAATCTATTTCCCAATCGGTACATTCTATGTCGCTTTAAAACCAGATTAATCCAAAAACCATTTTGGGTAAGTTGAGAGTGGTTATATACCAAATTATTCATAGGAAGACTTTAAGATAAACTTTAAGATTCAAAACAAACCAAGATAGGCGTGTACTGCCAAGATAACGCAAGATGTTTTTACACGTACGCATTCGCCGTTGACTATTATTGACCGTAAGTTTCTATTTCTAAATGTGTTTCCAGTTTTGTCCTTCTAGATAAGAGCAAACTTTCACCGAACAACTGAAATTATCGAACTCATCTATCGTCAGCGATGGCGCACTCATCTAGTCGGCAACTGCCTAACTTGGTTTTATCGCTGACCAAAACCTGCTTAGAAATTGCTGTAACTTATTCGGTCGTAGTAGAGTTGTTTATAACTTAAATTGTTTTATTAGTACGGTGCAATCAATCATTTTTATTGACCTGTTCCCAGATATTTATTTCATTTGAACGTATTTCTTTCGGAATGTCGTTGTGAACGTGAGATTTATTCTTTATTTTTCTAGCAATAGACATATGTATGTACAGTTACCGTAATAATCAAAAGTAATTGATAAGTAATTTAGACTACTAGCCAAACCAAATCTTAACTAATAGTTTGTCCTATTTGTAATACAGAACTTTGTAATTTCCTACGGACCTATTTTTTATAATTCATTTTTGTCTGCTGTACAATCAGTACTTTTTCATCTAAAACTATCTATGATGACATGCCTGCCAAGAAGGTTCCTATACCCGTATGATTATTAAATGAAGTTAAATATGGCTCATTTTTCATATATATCAAATTGTTAATCGGTGAGCTTCTTTGGCTACAAATGTGATTGGACTGACGAAAATACTGTTTTACTCTAATATTGTGTAATATTGTAATGGAAAGTGACTTCAAATTTTAATGAAGTCATTTTTCAATCTTGTCGCTCTGAATGAAACAAAACAGGTTGAAAAAAGCAGCCCTTGCCGAGTTTCTTGCCGGTTCTTCTCGGTACAAGGTCTCCCGCCCTAGATTTACGAACCGATGGCGTAGCTCTCGACTTTCACAAGTGCTTGTAACAGCCTAGACTGAATAAATAATTTTGATTTTGATATACTGGTTGAAAAGACACTATTCTTTTTTATCCTACTGATATTATAAAGGTGAAAGTTTGTAGGTTTAGATATTTGTAACTTCTTCACGCAAAAACTGTATAACGGATTTTCATGAAATTTGGTATATCCGCAATTCTTAGTCTGGTTTAACATATAAGTTATTTTTTATCACACTAAAAGGTTCCCTAGGGATTGAAATACTTCCAAGAGTGCGTATTGTTGTGAATGATGCCTAAACTGTAAGATACGGTATATATACTTTCTAAAGAAAAGTTGGAGAGCTTTAAATTATCTATAAAAAAAGTCCGATTTTGCATATATGTGCTAAAATATTTCACAATATTGAACAAACTTCGTAAAAGTGTATTTAAATAAAATCCGTCTTTAGACGTTTATTTGAATAAGTGATATTGAATCCTAATCAAAATAAATATGCTTATTGTCAAATAAATCCAACATAAATAAAAATTGTCTTTTAGAAGAAATAAATTGGTTGAGTAGTTGAAATTTTACTACTATGTTTTTGAGAAAAGAAAATAACACATATTACAGATTTTCTAACCGCATTGTCTGCATATTATTTATTTAAATTTAACAGCTTTTTTTAAAATATATACGGTATAATTTCAATTTATAAAGACTGCAGTAATTATATTATTATTTTACAAATAAAAAAACGAAAGCGACGGTGGTTAAGATAGCGTTCAGTAACAAGAAATACGAGATCAGTCTACATAGCCAAGAAAATTATCTGAAGTGTCATAGAGATGAAAAATATTATCTGGACGGAACAACAATCTATTGAATAAAACCTGGTAATCATCAACGAAAAGATACTGCTTCTAGAGCTACTGCGCAACTACATTGGCTTAGAAATTGCACTCAATTAATATTATTAAGTCACAGATGTAATATTTTTAATCGGGTTGAACCCATGGCACTTGAACGTTAAGCGTGTTGTGATAGAATTCAATATCAATCATATTGAAGCTAATTTCGTCACGCGTTAAACTGAAAACCATAGGAAACAGACAAGGGAGAATGTATGGACTCTTCATACGACAAAACAAATTCTTTTAAACTAGGCTGGAAGCAAAAATAAGCTAATGACAAGTTAACTTTACCAAGAAATTTGACATTTTTACAACTTTACCTGTTTTTCCAGAGAAGTATTACTCTTTCTTTGTTAACTGTCCTTACTAATAATAGAAAAGCAAAAGCAATTCGGTCTGAAACCATTTAAATGAAATGTTGTGTTAAAAGTATGAAACCCTAAATAAGATATAGAATAATTTTCACGCCGGAATTCTACGAAAAAGTTTGTATGGGGAATTATTTATTTACTTACATTATTATGCGTCTACTTTAATTTAACTAATAATTATGTTTTTCATATTAATTAAAAAAAAGAGAACTTGATTAAAACGTGGAGCAAAAATGACTTTAAAATATCGAATAATAATTCTTACATTTATAAATACAATAAACTCAAGCTAACATATTACAAGTTAAAATTTGATTTGTAAAAATAAAAACTATTTTTATTACCTGTGTTTCTTTTTTTTTATTAATTATATTTTGCATTAAAAATGCTATACTGAAAAAGGTTCTTAATACATAAAGAGTACGTTCTTAAATAATTCCATTAAAACTTTGCCGCATTATACCTAAATTAAATGAGTTTGCTTTAACATAAAACACTGGAAGAACTACATTATATCGCCAAAATATAGAGGTACTTAGTAAAATAAAAATGTTTATGCAAAATGCTCAATAATCCACTTTGTCCCTGGCACTCTAAGATGGGAAACGAACCTATGACTTGACATTAATTGTATATAAACTAAAATTATAATTACTCATACAAACTAAGTTCAGCACAAACCAGTAAGGTCTTCTGAGTTAATAGCTATCTGTTTATTTATGTAAATAATACATTATGAATACATTTTTAATTTAATGAAGAAACGAAATTCGTAGCTGTTGTTAGTCTCGCCATAAGGTGCCTTAATGCATCTAAAACTTCAGGACATTTACCAGTTTGTCATTCCGAAATTATTAGAATTCTAATCCCGTAGGCCCCTAAGTCCGCGGAACACAAGGGAATCGGAATTTCAATTACAGGACGGACCTGCCCCAAACGTACCTTTATTAAGCGAAATGAAATAGATGAACTTGACTTAACTGATAAGAATAAAGTCGCCTCAACATTCAGAATTAATGAAAGTAAAATCCATATTGCAAAACTTAGTAACGAAGTTGAAGTCAAATGATAATTTGAATGCTAATTTCAACCTATTTATTCATCTTACTTGAAGTCCCTTAATGTCGGTACATTTGTATGTGAGTTGATTTATAGTTATAATGATTCAATCTTATTTATATCAACAGTGCGGGTTTTAGTGGAGTCGGAGTTGTGTTATATCAGTAAAAGGATTTACGATACACGTTGCAGACAAATTTAACGAGAAAACTACATTAAGAAATGACTAACACGCACAGGGCTTCGCTCATATGTTAAAATTAAAAAGAAGACTATTGTACTATTTTACGTATGTGTTTCAAAGTTTTAGGCTCAGTGAATTGGATGATACTCGCGTACTACAATTCTTCTCGATTATTATCGATACAAGGTCTCCCGCCATAGATTTACGAACCGATGGCGTAGCTCTCGACTTTCACAAGTGCTAGTAATAGCCTAGATTGAATAAATGATTTTGATTTGATTTATATGGAATACAAAATAGGCGTCCGCTGATGAACCGAAGGAACATTCGCAACGGCATTGATTTACAGCAGATGCTGATGATGATACTTGAGGCACAGATAATATGCAACGAAAACGTAATTTAAGGTTACTTAATCAATAATCTATGCAAATGATAAAGTTGAATAGTTTGTTTGACTGAACTCTATAATGTCAGGAACTACTGGTGTGAATTGAATCACTTTTTTTTCGTATTGAGAAAACTCATGTTTTACGAAATTCCCCTCCTTTAAAAATTAAAAAAAAAAATCCGCGACGACATATGTCTATCTTTTATCTTATTCCGAAAAATGACACATAAAGGCATCAAAATGTAAATGGAATTACATATATTGCATTAAAACGTAACCACAATAACCATTGTTTACAATTCAATTTGTCATTGTAATTATATTCCATGTCATCTTTTTCCAAAACGATTTTTAAATTATTTAAGCTAAATTATATAATTTATTTATAATTAAATATAATTTATCAAAAAAGTCGCATTCATTTTCAATTTTGCTGGTTTTAGGATTCCATAGTCAATCAGGAACCTTATAATTTTGTTCGTCATGTTAATCAAGTGGTAAAATAAAATTTACAAAAAAAAACGGTTACATCTTCTTATTTAAAGTGGGGATGTTTTTTATATTCCCTTAGCGTGGAGTTATTATTGTCATATTATATTGGTAGGTAAGGTATTGTTGGATAGGTCTTTCAATAATATTAGAGGTGTGGGAATACCGATTTTAGATTTAGTTAACCGTTCACGACTTATTAAGCTTCTAAGTGCCAATTTTCGTTAAAGTCAAATGTCAACCCCCTCTTCCAATTAAATGGTTATTGTTAGAAACTCAAACGTTACGAAAGCAGTATTTATATATAATGAATTTAAAAAAAAAAAACTATCACACTCAAGTTGACTTTACAAGTTTACGAGTATAAGTCGGCAAAATCTCTTTAACACGTAAATTTCGAAAAACTCCTTTGAACACAAGAAACATATTTTTTTTTTGTGTTACGACGACAAACTATCAACGAGTCCAACTATCGGTCGACTGGTTTTTTAAATAATGTATATTTTAATGGAGCATTATTCATCGGACGACTAAATAATATACGGGTATATACGTTAAATTATGTTTGCATATAATGTACTAACCTGTCGATAATTATCATCATCATCAGCCCTTTTACGTCCCCACTGTAGAGGCTCAGGCTTTCCTGGTTAAGGAGGATGGGCCATGACCTTCCATACTGGCCCAATGCGGATTGGAGGGTATTAACGACTGCAAATGCAGCCGGGACCAACGGCTTAACGTGTCTTCCGAAGCACGGAGTAGCTCGAGATAATATGTTTTTCGGTCACACATCCCGTGACCGACCCTTGCCTAATGGAAGCTTGCCTTACAATAACGATCGCGGGCCGCGGCGCTTATCCACTTCGTCACCGAGCTACTCGATAATAATGAATGACTAAAAATCAAAAAATATTTGAAATTAGCTAGGAATAAGTTTTATCTAAAACAGCAACTACAATTCAAAGTTTTAGAGTTAAATAATAAATTGGGCTGAAAAAAATACTGAGGCAACTAAACTGTGTTCGTTCGACATCTACAAATTGAAGAGATGACAGAAAATCCGGTAACAAAGTTTAATATGATGAAACGCACTAAAAATTCAGAAAATGCGGAATTGATAAAGCAAGCTGGCCGTCAAGTTAGTTGCAAAGAGGATAATAATAGAAACTCATTATATCGTTTATATAAGATATCTATCTATCTATTGGTAGGAAAGGGCAGTGATCAAAGTCTCCTAATTATAGAAGATATCAATTGGGTAATGAACTTTCTACAACCAATAAGAGTTATTGATATTAGAAAATTCATTGTTATACATTTACTATACTTTTTAATGATAATAACGATTAATGAAAAATGTAAAAAGAAAAACTTAAAGCAGGTGAATTTTTTAAAGTATTTTTAGAAGTTATATTTTAAGAAGTTAAATATTGTAATCAAAAAAGTTTTAATGTTTAAAATATTTTTTTTCCATTGCGCCTTTTTTATCTGCACTAAAACATTATCAAAGAAGCCAGTCGTATATATATTGCTTTCAAGCGCTTCCGTTGTTTTTGCTTGGGCAGCATTCTTTCCGGTTGTCGTCCGCCCGTTATTAAATTGTCTCAGCAAAGTTTTCTCATCTCGTCGACGGTTCACTTCGTGAAGCATTTTTTGCGCCTTCTCTATTTTCGGAAGTTAGACGTGCTATTATAGTCTACTCAGAGCGTGTTTAAAGGATGCTTTTTACTCCTAAAATAGTGAATTACGCGAGGTCGAAATGCTTTTCCGTCGCGTAATTTCGTTGGAAGAGTAATTCAACTCGTTGGGGTCCATTATGTGTATTTTAGAAATTCACCTTTTATGTGTTTGTCTGGTTTGTGTGAAAATGTTTTTTCACTTTGCTTGTATTTTTTAACTTCTTTATATACTTTCTGTGCTGTTGTTAACATAAAATGGTCTAACATAATATTTTTGAGGTTGCTTATATTCAAATGATCATAAACTTCGTTTCAAGCTTTTAGCCTTTCTTCCAGTTTCTTTTTGCTATTTATATTGTGCTACAAATTTATATCTTACTAGCTGTAACACGTGGCTTCGATCACGTGGTCCGAGGGTACTGTGTGTACACTACCCTGTTATATTGGAGTCTTAAGCTAATCTTATTTAAAAATCTGCTATTAAGCATCCACCTTTATATCCTAATCGTTAGTTTATCAGCGTCCTCACTACTGGGGCAAAGGCCTGCCCAATATATGCAAGCAAATAAGAAAAATCTACGTGTGTTTCTGTGGATAACGCATATGTCTTCATATAATAGTCCAATTGTTCTCCTTTCTATTTTAGTGCGCAGTAGAATCGCTACGTCTTCCAAAACATACAAACAAATGTTGTCTTTGAAATAATAGTCCTTTTATTTATGTCATTTAATAATTAGACCGTAATTTTGCTAGATATTTGCTTATTGCTAGATATTTGACTTTCAGATAAAGATTTTTATTTTAAGGGTTTAAAACAGCCTGATGCTTTGCTTGTGCAAGATTTTATAAGAATGAGGATCTTAGTAACTTGTCGTTCTTGCTTTCTCAATTCAGCATATTCAGATATTTTTGTGCGTGACGTCATATTAAATTTTGTCACCAAATATTCTGTCATCTAATCAATTCAATACCGCCTAGAAGTCACATTATACCCTATTTGAATAAGGCTTCGATGCTAAATATGGCTTCGCGTAGTCATCTGCACCTCGTCAGCCATTATCAAATTCCAGAAGCCAACTTACCTTTTTGCTAAGCTTTGGTTTCGTCGTACCAATAAGTATGGAGCCTGGGCTAATCGATATTTACTGGAGAGTCACCTTTATAAGACAGTTGCTTTTACTGGTAGTTTCGGTTACCTAGCAACCAAATGCTGGAACAACTTACCACCATCTCTGGGTGCATTTTCATCAAAAGTGACTCTGAAAAAACATTTCAAATAATTTCTTTAGAAAAGTATCGTGTGATAAATATCGTAACTTTTTGTGTATTTCGTGTTTCAAATTATAAAGAATAATACCAGTTATAAACAATTTCTTTATTATGGTACTGTACTGTATATTTATTTTTGGGCAAATCGTATACTGAGCCTAGACCCTTTTGCGTTGCTGCAATACGCAGCCGACATAATATTTATTTATTCTTCTAATTTTTCTGTTGCTTTGAAATTTTTTTGGTATGTTTTAGTTTATTTATATCTAAATAATTACTAATCAAAATGTGTTGTTGGTAATGCAAGTACAGCTTATTATTATATATCTTTAGCCTTCCACGTTAAAAGGACTATTTAACACAAAAATCAATTCGTGCCAGTAGTTCCTGAGAATAAAGAGTTCAACCAAACAAATAATTTATTCTGCTTTATTATTGGTATAGATGTATTTTTCTTTATTAAACTTACTTATGTTAATGACTCAAAAGGGCTTAACAGTGTAGGTTTAACTTTTCATTTAATTGTAATAACGTCTTTACATTTTTCCCATCCAACACAGTTTAACAATTACATTTATATTTAACTATAGTCCGTTTCAAGCGCCCGCAGAAAAAAATATCAATGGCAAAGATATTATGTAGCAATATTATAGTTTTTTAAAAAAAGGATTTGTCTCATTACAAACTCAAGCTATAGCAATATTTTGATCAAATGAAATGGATGAATAGATTCGTTACTCTAGTATAGGAGTAACTTTGATACACCGTGAATGTACAGCTTTTTATTTACCTAATAAATTGTTTAGTCTAGTAATGAAGACAATAATAATGTTTATCATAATTAAAGGAAAATTGTTTTTTGCCCAGACACAGGTGACTTACTAATATCTCCTGAAAATGGCTATGAATGGGGAGGGCAGCCAATAGCACGAGCACCGACGGGCAAGCAGGTGCAGAATGCCATCAACATCATCAACGCAGTGTTTATGAGGAAAAGTGCTGTGGCACAGCTCACCAAGTATGCATCATTTTATAATTTTAAAAGCAGAAACAGTTATAGCATCATGAGTAACTTGACAATATAGAATTTAGCTGATAGTGAAACCTTCGGCAAAGCGATTCCGTAAAAATCCGAACCCGAATTCGAATTCACATAGGTATCCGAATTTACTTCGAAAGCGACTTCCGCTTAATCTTGAATTGGTATTAACGTTTCTTTAATAAGTGAAGTGAGTTTCGAAATGACATAGATATAGAATATCTCAGATACGTACATATGAATCAATCAATCTTGTTTTGTATTTTTATACAAAAAATGAAATCAATGGAATTTCTACACTAATATAAGATAAGAGGATTCGCTTTCGAAATATATTCAGACACCTCAGTGAATTCGAATACGGAAAAAATCTTAAAATATGCGCATTTTGCGCATGAAACATTTGAAATAAAAAATAGCCATTGAGTCACTGTCATATATTTGCTGTTTGTGTTACTTCAGAACGAAATTTTCATTAATTTTTCATCCATCTTGTTAACAGATATGATTTAATGTTGGGCGTCACGAAAGCAGAAGCCTATTTCGCATTCAGCGGCGATGATGTCCAATATGGTATTGAAGCTGACAGAAGGTCCAAGATATTGAAATCCTTCGTTAGGAATACCTACAGTTATCATCTATCAGAGATACTAGCTACTATTATCAATGAATATACTGATTGGGAGAGACCAGTACAACATCCTATCAATATAAGGTACACAACGATCCGGGTCTATTTCAGAGGTTTTAATTTTTAGAAATCTACAAATATTTCTGCAGATTGAATTGCCCATATTACAATATAAGCAGTTTGCAAAGTCAAAATACTACACTAAATTACGCCTTTGTTTCAATTTGCCCAAGCATATGATTACGTATATCACATATATTATTATTTTTATATTATGTCGATAAGTTACTCAAACTGTAATCGTAAAATGTGTATTTGATGGGTTACTAATTATTATTTAAATTAAACTTTGCAATAACTGAATTAAAGAGGCTAGATTTTCAAATATTTCTAGATTTTCTTAGAGTGGAGATATTTTACTCTTACTATCGCCTCCTATATTCTTGTAACAACAAAAGAATCATCTTATATTTTGAATGCAACCAACGAACTTTAATGCTCTTACTTTTTATTATTACATTTAATATGGAAAATAAAATAAATATTGTTTTGTAGGGATGAAACTCTAGAAGCTCTAAGCGACGCCCAAGTTGTAGCTCCCATTGTGCTAACAGCTGACACACATTCTGCTCTTCGAAGAAATTCATATTTATACGTTTTCGATTATCAAACCAAATATGGGGACTATCCACAGGTGAGTGATATATATTAGTTATTCTATATTCATTAATTTCATTATTTTATAGCCCTTAATTTGTCTGGATAATTAATTTTCCCTGTGGATCCTACACTGTGCAGACGTGTTTTAAGTAAATTCATAATTACTATTTTCACATTAAAGTTTAAAAAATAATATCAAGAATAAATTGTATCTAATACCAGGAGTGCATAACACAAAACAGCTTCCATAAACCACGAGTGTGCGAGGACAAACGGTTACCAGAAGAAGATATCCTTGTTTGCGTGAGTTCCTCTTTAGTAGTACGCATATAGTAAAACAATTAACCAACACCTGTGAAGTTATTGTGCGTAACCACGCCCCTATCCCCATCAAGCGTACGCGCAAGCTCCTCCCGACGGGCTCCACCCTGCGAAAAATCCACTTGCCGACGGCTCATTTAGGCCTACAACATTATTAAGATGTCGATGCATCGCACGCCACCAAAGGTACAACAAGTATTAAGCCCTGAAAAAACAAATACGTTGCATTATAGCTCGGTACCTGATCTCAATAAGACGAACAGTGAACCTTTTGAAGATAATTATTATATTGCTAAACGCCAAAAACGTACATTTTATGAAACAGATCGATCGGAAGTTGAATATTCTGACATTAGAATTATGTTCGAAGAGATTAGGTCCCAACAAGATAGCAAATTTGAGTTGTTGAATAATTCAATGATTACGTTAATGATGCAAAATAAAGACATACAAAGCTCTGTCGAGGTAATGTCAAACAAACACGATCAACTACTCGAAAAAATTTTAAATTTAGAAACTGAAAATTCGTTATTAAAAAGTCGTGTTGCCACCTTGGAAAGTAAAATTGAGCTTCTTGAGAAGAGGGATTGCAGTACTAAATTAGAATTTCGGAACTTACCTAAGCAAAAAGAAGAGAACAAGCAGGTGTTGGCTGGTTTATTAAAAAAAATAAGCCTAACTTTGGGACTTGAAAATCCCATCGAACCAATACATATCAATGACATTTATCGAAATAAATCCGAAACCATCGTAATCGACTTCTCCACGGTTTTACTCAAGGAATCAATATTAACGAATTACAAGGTTTTCAACAAGTCTCGGAGGGCAAATAAGGAACCACCACTCAATACAGCTCATCTCCAACTGCCGGGGCAGCCTTCTCCTATTTACGTAAATGAGTACTTATCTACCAAAACTAGACATATATACTTTCTGGCTCGACAACTCGTTAAGAGTAATAAGATTGTCGCTGCTTGGACCTCATTCGGTAAGGTGTTTGTGAAGAAAGACGAAGGTGCAGCTCCTACACGTGTGACCGTGGAAAGCGATTTACAAAAACTGATATGACTAGTCTACTACTCATTATTATCTTTGTATTTAATATTGTTTATTTGTTTTTATGTCATTTATTGTTATGATCATTGTTATATTCTAATAATGATCTATGCTAAGAGTTTACATTTAATAGTATTATTAATCATCAGATTCGGGATTGCAATAGGTATCCTATGAGAACCTGCAAAATTATTTTCTTGACGCCGAGGCATCACACTAGAGCATTCCGTGGATCTTTCAAGTTCGCTGCCTCACGGTGCTGGAACGACCTTCCTCCTCCATTGCGTGACCTTAAAACAATAGGTGTGTTTAAAAAACATCTAAAACAACACTTATTACTACTTCAGTTATCGATAAATAAATAGAAAAGCACTTACATTTCGGTAGTCGCGACGCGCTATGGAGGGGTAGGAGAAACGCCGGCGCCGATTAGATTCAATGACGTTCATTTCTTGTTTATAAGAACTGGCGGTGAGTTTGGGACGTCCAATATAGCTCTTTTTTTTATTCCATCTTTGTATACGTGGCAATGCATTGTCACGTGTATCGGGTAAACTTGATTACGTAGGATTTCTCATTTATTTTTTTTTACTCGTTGGCTTGCTTACGTCAATATATGGTGGAACTTTCAAGGTCACAGACTAATAAGGCGAAACTTTCTAGGTCACAGACTAATAAGGCGAAACTTTCTGTCAGATGGTTGGGTCGCGGGGTGAAGTGTTGTATACTGACAACTCGTTATTCGCGTTCAGGAATGTAACGGACACTTAGTATTATAAGCACATACATTATTTTTATTGTTTAAAATTATATCAAATGTCACTACCCACAGGCTCTGCCAGAATATCAGCGCTGTTGCGTGAGCTGATTCTCACTGCAACAGCACAAGCTGAGGTAGTGTCCTGGTTGACCACATCACATGTGCATGATGGATTGAATTATGTGTATTTCTGTCTTCTATATTCTGTATCACTTTTTATTATTCATTTTATTTTTTGTTTATAATTGTAAAGTGTAATGTGAAGGTCAATAAAAATATTTACTTACTTACTTACTTACTTACTTACTTACATTCATGCATTATACAAATACACTACTCACACAATACACATCATTATTAAAATTACGATTGCATTTACTTTTTTACTGGGATGTGGGGGATTACGGATTCAAGGCTTTTCTATATATATATCTATTACGTATTTTATATCTCATTTGTATATATTTTTACACATTTTAATTTATGCAAAATATTGAAAGAATAGGCTTGGATCTGGATTCCCTAACAAAAGCTCGTGTGGTTAGATGTGGCATAGATAATGTGATAAGTAATTGTTTTTCAAATAATTGTGCATTAAATATAATTACTCAAAATATACGTAGTATAAATTGCAACATGTCTAATTTTACTACATTACTTATGCGTTCTAAAGTTGTTTGGGACGTAATAGTGCTAACTGAATGTTGGCTTACTCTAAATAAAAACATTCCTGACCTTGAAAATTATATAAACGTTACTACAACTAGACATAAAACACAAAATGAGGGTGTTGTTATCTTTCTAAACAAATCATTGACAGGCACGTTTGAAGAACCATACATTGATGATGCGAACTGCCTTACCCTAAAATTAAACAGCGAGACCTGTATTATTTGCATTTATCGCCCGCCTGGCTGCAGTGACGTTAGTAACTTTGTGGACTCCTTAAATTCACTACTTTCAAATCTAACTAGCTTTAGGAACATAATTCTCTGTGGTGACATTAATATTGACATTGTACCAAACAGTCCAGATAAACGCTCGTACGAGTACTTAAATATATTGGCAAGTCATTTAATGCTTCCAGGTCATACTGAACCTACGCATGGTCTGACATGTCTTGACCATATTATGATAAAGTCTAAACTAGATATAGTATGTTTTTTGTTCGATTCATCAATTACAGATCATGACTGCGTGGCTCTCAGCGTAAACCTAAATTCCTCTTTGCCTCGAACTAACACGAATAAATTTGCATACCGAATTGACTTTGTGCAATTGGATTATATTATGGAAAAACTAGATTTCCAGGCTATCCTTAACATCAAAGAAACCAACAGCGCCGCTGAACGTATGGTAAATCTATTATCTACAGCTATCAAAGAATGTACCAAACCAGTTACAACTCCGAAGCGCAAATTAATTTTCAAACCGTGGATAACTCTAGGCTTATTGCGATGTATGAAAAATAGAGATAATTTACATAAGAAATCAAGGAGGGACCCGGACAACCTAATCATTCGAAGCACCTACAAACGCTATAGGAATTTCTGTACAACTGTTCTTAAAAAGGCTAAAAGGAATTATGAAAAAGAAGAAATTGTGAAAGCACAAGGCGATAAAAAAAGACTATGGGAGATCGTGAAGGGGATAAGTGGCTCATCTGGGATTATTGATCATTCTTTGTCTCTCTTGTCTGAAAATCCACAACATAGTGTTAACAGCGTAAATAACTATTTCGCTAATATAGGGAAAAATTTGACTGAGATAATTGCTTCAAGGCGGTCCCTGTTAGAGTCACCAGTTAGCAATTACCATCAATCAAGCCAACCAAATTCATTGCTTATGTTGCCCGTTAATGAAGAGGAAGTGACTAAACTTATAAGACGCCTCAGGGATAGTAGCACCGTGGGCATTGATCTAGTCTCCAGTAGGGTTGTCAAGAGATATATACAAAAACTTGTAACTCCTTTAACACATATATGTAACTTGGCCTTTGCGACTGGTGTTTTTCCAAGTGTATTTAAATCAGCTCTTATAAAGCCGGTTTTTAAGGGTGGTGAAAAAGATCGGGTTGAGAATTTTAGACCTATTTCCATTTTGCCGACGCTTTCTAAAATCCTGGAGCGGGCAATGAATGACAGATTAATCGGGTTCTTGGAGACAAATAATCTACTTTCATCGTCGCAATATGGTTTCCGTCGCGGCAAGTCTACTTGTGATGCGGTCCTAGGTCTCGTAAACTCCGTAGTTAAGGCGCTAGACGTAAAGAGACGATGTGTCGCTGTGTTCCTTGATCTAGCTAAGGCATTTGACACTGTCTCGATACCACATCTTATTATGAAATTGGAACGCCTTGGAGTGCGAGGTCTTCCTTTGAAACTCTTTGAAGATTACCTCACAGACCGAACACAAATGGTTAAGATAGACAATTGGATGAGCGATGAGTATAGTTGGCCCAACGCTGTTCCTTGCTTACCTCAATGACTTGACTAACATGGAACTTCAAGGAGGTGAAATCTATGCTTTCGCCGATGACACTGCTCTTCTCTTTAGTGGAGCTAATTGGGAAGAAGCATTTCATAATGCCCAGGAAGGTCTTGATAAAGTGGACTGGTGGCTGATCCGTAATGATCTAACTCTTAATGTCACTAAATCCAAATATATGGCATTCGCATTAAGGACCTCCCAACTTCCTTCAGATACTCTCCAGATCACTTCTCACAAATGCGTCCGCTATCATGCCTCCTGCGCTTGTACTACCTTGGAAAGAACCAGTAGCCTAAAGTACTTAGGAGTAATTCTGGATCAAACTCTTACATTTAGGCCTCACATCAGTTACCTTGTACCCAGATTACGGAAACTTATTTATATATTTAAAACCCTTAAACACGTAGCTGATCGAAAGACAATCAAAATGGTGTACTCCGCACTGTGTCAATCACTTCTGGAATATTGCATCTCGGTCTGGGGTGGTGTTGGAAAGTCCGATCTTCTTAAAGTAGAGAGAGTGCAACGCGCAATTCTTAAGGTGGCTGCTGGTTTTCCCTTTCGATTCCCTACAAGAGACCTCTATAGAGAGTGGGAAGTGCTTACAGTCAGACAAACTTATGTCTTGCACACTGTTCTAAGGAAACACATTGAATTGAACTACGATCCACAGTTATTCAAGGACAAACGTAGGAAACGTGCTGTTTGTTTAAAAACACTCCACAGAACAACTACATCCCATAAATTTTTTGGTTTCTTGGGTAGTTACCTTTATAATAAATTAAACTTGACTTTAAATATTTATCCACTTCCTAGAGCCCTTTGTAAAAAAACTGTTACAGTTTACCTTCGAGAATTAGATTACCAATCCACTGAAGCTCTTCTTATACCCCTTAAATAATAAAAATACAATTATCATATTGCTAATCAGCCACTTCCAAATGAGTTACCCTGGTATAAATATAAATGTATAATCACAAATACATACGTACTCTTACACACGCGCACACTCATGCAATACGCACACAAACAGACACACACGCAAACACAAATACATACATACACAAAGCAAAATGTGAACTCTATATTAAAACTACTTTTGTATTTCCTTTTTTAATTATCTTTTTACTAGGCATTGTTTACTTATGCGGGGGAAGCCCTGGTGACCCGTGTAACCGGTTTCTTTTGGAAGCCTATAGCAGGCACCAGCTTTTCACACTTGAGTGAATGTTTGTCCTATTCATAGTATATAAAAAACCTACTGTACAACTTTTGGTGAAAAGAAATAAATTATATATTATTATTATTATTATATTATTATAATTGTGACGTTATAACAGTGGAATATATTTCTTTTGATGGTAATATTTATATATAAAATAGATATTTTCGGTAGCGACATGAATAAAGCTGTTTTTTTTTAAATGAACATCATGAATTGATAGTGCTAATCAGTGCAATAATCTTAACTACAATTAATGTACCAAATTTTGCATCATTCCAATTTTGGTATGTATTTACTTGAGGAAATTTTTGATGTTTACATTTACATCGGTTAAGATCAAAAGCGCAGCTACAAGGATGGTGAAGTCTTTTCACTCCATAAATACCTCAATTTAGCTTAACTGCAGCGAACATGAAGCGCGTTACTTGTAATTATCCAGTGCGCTCGTCTCGATGATAACTTAATTTGCAGAGTAATTAACAAGACCGATTAAGGCAGACACCCCACACTTTAGGATTTTCTCCATCGTAGTAGTCTTCATTGAGTGGCTATGATGCAGTCAACGTTGCCTTGTTATTAATACTTGTAAGCTCGAGTTACCTCACTCCGCCAATAACGAGATGGCGAGTCGATGGAAGCTTTAACACTTTAATAGTCTTTAATGAAAAGTTTGGATTTATTTATACGTGATTGACGAGATTGGCTTTTCACTTACTTTCCTATAATCATGATCTAAAATTCTAAGATTGGAGATGTTAAACTATGTCAATATTTTCTATTTATCATTCTATTTTAATTTAAGAAGATAACATATAGGGAGATATATTAGGGATTTTTTACTCAACTTGTTATTTAGATTACTGAAATGTTATTATAATTTCTCGTCAAATCTGCGAACATAATATCTTCTTTTTTCTTAAATTCCACTCGGTCGATGTCGCGGCCGAAGCATTAATATATATCATAATGGTTATTATATATAAACAAATGATACAATTGCAAATCACATATGAGGCTTAGGAGTTTTGAATATTCGCTACTGGATTATTGTGAACTACTTTTATATACTACTAGTAGCCGCCAGCGACTTCATCCGCGTTTTCCATTATTTCTTCGCTCCTAATAGTTGCAGCGTGATTTTATGTAGCCTTTAGTCTTCCTCGATAAATGGTCTATTCAACACAAAAAGGATTTTTCAATTCGAACCAGTAGTTCTTGAGATTAGCGTTCAAACAAAGAAACAAACTCTTCAGCTTTATAATATGAGTATAGATAGAATAGCTTTGAGTGGTTTATACTACGTTTTTGACACTGAGGTCAGCAGTCAGCTAATCCTATTACATTCACAACAAAGTTCTGTCTGGGATGTTGTGTAACAATATATATCCTTTCTATTGAATACAGCGGCAGGGATGCATTCATGGTGAGGAGCTGCCGTACATTTTCGGGGCCCCTCTGGTCGGTGGGCTAGCCCACTTTTCCCGGAACTACACAAAAGCAGAAATTGCTTTGTCAGAATCTGTCATGACCTTCTGGGGAAACTTTGCAAAAACTGGGTAAGATTTTAGAATTGGTGTAGAATTGACTATCACATTGGACATTCATGTAATGCAAACATAGAAGAAGAAGTATATCTTACAGATGGCATTGAACAATATGTAGCTTACATTTACTAGATCCAAGTCAAATAAGAAAATGTCGACTGGATCTCTTGTAAGTCTTAAATATTAAATTTTGTTTAAATTATACATTTAGTCATTAAGTATTCTATCTTTTTGACAAGTATACAGATAAAATTAATGATGTTTTATAATTAATTTAACATTTGTACGTTTGTAGATAAATGTGCCGGCAAAATGTTTATTTATTTATACGGTAGCATTCCGAGCATTTCGTATGGTAAGCGAGCACTTTAAAGCACTTAAAAGTCTGAAAAATGTCGGTAAACAATTCTAGTTGCTTTGTTACGAACTGTTATGAATAAAATATTCTCATATAAAAAAAGATTTCTTGTTAGCTGTTTTAAAAAAAAAATTAATAAAGGTCCATAGTCTGAAGAAATTTTTCAAAGAACCAAATATGTACATATGAATGTTTTTCGAAACAAAAGCTCCTTTTAGTGTAGGTTGAATTTAGTATTGTTAAACGAATATGGAAAATTTTCTCAAATATGATATTTTTGTTACTTAGAAATCCAAATGAAGGTCAGGACAATGATCCTATCAGGGCCGGCAGACAAGAAAGAACACGATTGAAGAACATCGAATGGACAGCATACGAAGCAGTTCACAAGAAATATCTAAGCATAGACATAAAATCAAAACTAAAGAACCATTACCGAGCGCATAGGTAAGTTAATTTATCACAAATAAATTAAGCAACATTAAAATAAATAATCCATAGTCGAAAAATGTGTGTGTGTGTTGAAATTTACGTCAGAGATTTAAGTGTTATAAATATTTTCACATATTTTAACTTAACTACTTCATATTTTAGTTGACAGAAAAAAAATTTACTTAAAAAATTACGAATCATTAATATTTTTTTGTAGTTTAACATATGTAAAGGGTAAATAATGCAACACGTTTTCAAAAAAATCTAATATGATATTAAACTTGCACATTACTTTTGTTCATAGGTTATCCTTTTGGCTAAACTTAGTGCCAGACCTTCACCGTCCTGGAGGAGAAGAAGTGCCTCCTTCTCATCATCAATTAGAAAACGAAGAAACGTCCCTTCAGCCAACACTCAAAACATTCAATCCTCCGTTGAAAAAGATAACCGAAATCGTCACCGAAACTGGCTTAGCCACTAGAATTCCCATTATAAACGTTTTAAATATTACTTCGCCTTTAAACTTCAATATAATTGGATTAAATGCCCCGACTCAAAGCAGTTCAGGATCTGAAGTACACAAATCCGACACTTCTACTACTTCTCCTCCCGAAGACGGTTTCGCTGCCTATTCCACTGCACTAAGTGTAACTATTGCAATAGGATGCTCCTTGCTGATATTAAACGTTCTAATATTTGCTGGTGTCTACTATCAAAGAGATAAAACAAGAATGAATGGTCAAGATCATGCAAATGGAGCTCATTTGAAAAAACGTGCGGAGAATGGACAAATGCCGAATAACATTTGCGGTGATTTAGAAGGAGCATTAACGTACCAAACAAGTTTAAAAAATGATCCAGCGACAATTTTGAGCCACCATCATACGCATTCACACCATCAATTGCCTCCGCCTGAGTTCGCTGATCTTCCAAGTAATAACGTAGCCGGCATGGCTACATTGCCAAGAGCTCCTCCTCCACCTAAAATTGGAAAGAATAATATAAACACCTTAGCCAGTGGGCAGCTGCAAGAGAATCAGCCGCTGCTATCAGCACATCAGATGCAGATGATAAATACTAGTACCCTCACAAAAAAGAATACACAATTAAACGCGAAGTCAAATGTGACAATGGAGGAGTTGAGAGTGTGACGTCAGCGAGCCTGACTGCAACGAGCCGGCAGTTGCAGTGACGTGGTTCACCACGATGAGATCGTGTGACTCGAGCCGGACCTTCTCAAGTGCGTCACAGACTATATTTAACTTTCAAAGTGTCTGTGTACTGGGCTAGAAGAAGGCGAATAATGTGAAGTGACAATTGAATCTATAGATTTATTCATATCGATATAAAAACTTCGGAAAAGACAAGTGAAAGTGAAATCTAAAAAGGTGTTAATAGTTTATTTAATTAATGGACGATATAAAAAGTCATCGTAACTTCTTTGTAAATTATTGTAAATATCGCAATGAATATGGAGATTGTATATAGTTCAGCAGCTCAGCGGCATATCCATCCTAAATACATTTGTAATCTTGAATAGATGAGGTATAAGACTATTTGTGATGAAAAAGTTGTAATGATAAACTTAATTGTAGTCAGTCAGATAACGGAGTGAAACTTTGCGCTAGGCGCGATATTCCATGTCCGTCGAATCGACTGAAGTAATTTATTGTACGGGAATTTTTAAAATAGGAGTTATAAAATTTTATGAAGACACCAATTTATTGTCTGTGAGATACCGAGTTGAGCAATAAAACATTCATTGAATGGTTTCCCACTTTGGTGATTACGTTGAAAGTTAAGAATTTTCCGAATCAAATTAGAATTTAAAATTAATTCTTGGAATTACAATTGTAAATTCAGTTCTTTGCATAGACGGACCAATAGTGTTTTGTAAATATGTAAATAATTATTAGAGAACGGTGTAACAGGTTGTATTGATCCATTGACGTGTTAAATTGAACCACGACTGAAATCGATAGATTATCGTAATACTCTTTACATTATGAATTTGTCTTCTTTATATATTAAAAAAAAAAAAACACGTTTTTCTGATTTATTTTTGTTATATTTTCCAATCTTATTGTTTTAAATAAGATTTGTCGCATAAATATTTTTAAGTTAAGTATTTCAAAGTAAATTTACGTGTGAATGTTGTCATAATTTGTTTTAATCGGTGCACATTTAAGTTTTACTAGTGCATAGTAACGTGGTCTGTACGATGACTTCTAATAATATACTTAACGAAATACAGACTAAACATTTTAATAAAATCGATTTAAAAATTAATCATGCCTCTTATTTTGATTCTTTATCGTTACAAAAATGAGCTTGATGAAAGGGGAAAGGAACAGCGTATTAACTTTCTCTCGGTCGCTCATTGGGGCCAGCAGGGGCCAGAAACCACTCTTATATTGCACGGCCCCAAGTGTTTGTCTAATACCAGAACCTGTATGCCGCAAGAGGGAATCGAGTGTTCTGACTGATTATAACTATAACTGTGAAGCTGTCTATACATCACAGGAAAATTACTGAGGGAACCATAGGGGATTTTAGTGTGATTTTCCACCAAAAATCCATCGTGCGACTAGGCCACCAATACATATTATCAGTATCGAGACATCAAGTACAATTTCCTTATTTGTGTTAATTATAGCTTGTTTGGTATTTATAATATTACTAAATATTATTTTTGAGGCAGGAGAAATAAAATATTATTCGCGTAGAACTGCGTTTTGTTTCACAGGACTGACCTTACCCCGTATAAGCACTACGTGGACAAAGATCTATGGAAAGCGATACATATGTTATTGTTTAACTCTCACATAATATTTTTGTGACCTCGTCTGTTATTAGAAATCAAATTATAGTATAATTATAATGCAATATCAAGTTTCATCATTTAAAACCTTATATATTTTAGTTGTCCTTGTTTATATCGCCCTTACACTACAAATTTAAAAATTAAATTAGTATGTAAATAAAGGTTCATAAAACTAAATATACAAGGTTCCAGAATAATAAGAAACACCTAATATGCATATGCAAACTTGAAGTTACTATACTTAGAAACATTATAATACTACATTCCCTAACTCCACTACACTTAGCGTAAATTAGCTTCAAGTAGCGATTCTCAGCAAACTACTATGTATGAGTATAATACTCGTAGCTAAAACGGTGCTCTATAAGCTCATAGCATATCCAATGTTGTATGACACGAAAGTGTAATTTATTTTAAAATTCAACATGTGATAATATTTAATTTTAAAACCATAGACTTCTTAAAAGTTTTCTACATAATGTATAACTATTTGCTGTACTTTTTTCAAGGCTCACACTCAGCGGTAAACTGCCAGGTGGGTTCAAGGATAATAGTTCCACATATCCTTCGTTGCTTGCCAGGTGGAAAGGATAGCGAGCAACCCGACGAAAACCTGAATAAATTATTAAGAATTAATACATACACGATCACAAAACTGTAAAAAAAAAACTCGGAATTTTAAATGAAACCGCATTCCACTATTGGTCGGAAAGGTTCGTGGACATCGTAGGTAATTAAGTATTCAATATCCTCTGATTAAAAGATTAGCACAAGCGGCAACCTCCCGTTTCAATTATTAACCGCGATTCAGGCTTTATCCGGTATATAAATTATTAAATGCTCGATGTTAACAATATCTGTGCTTACGCAAGTCGTCCGAGGCGCGGGCAAGACTCTTCACATTAATTTCCTTCTCCCGTTGTGTGGTACAAAGCAAGAGATGACGCGTTGTGACATATTAGGTGCAACAAAAATAAGGTCGAAATGTGTTTAGGTTATCAATACCGGTAATTTTTAATCTGAATTAATCATGAGAAACCAAATTAAATACACTTCGTATGGGGTCTTAAAATTAAAAGCTAATCGCTCTGTCTCTATGTCGAGCATGCTCATCCCATGCTTCGAGTTCAAAAAATGTAAAAAGCTTACATAGAACCAATGATATTACAATAAAAAAGGTAGATAGGTTACTTGAATTCAAAAAGTGTCACCTTAAAAACTATGCTAATCAGCATACCTGAGTGCAGTCTGGCGAAAGCGTTGATTGTGTGCGTTTATGTACCGTAATAATTTTAAAAATTCTATCCTGTTTTATGCGAAACTGTAGAAACAACACAAGTAAGTTGTCTAACGACCAAGGGGTCTCATTTCATTCGTAGGTAGACATTTTTAAATCAGAAAAATAAATAATGTGTCATAAAAAGAAATTATTAAAATGTTCGTTGTAAAGTATCACACCACAAGATAATAACAACAAATTTACATTTGCACACATTTTAACAGACGATTGTAAATATTGGACGTGCCTCACGATTTTATTTTGATTGATTCATTTTACTCATGACTGTATCCATTCATTTATTTTTTAGCTTTAAGTACATCTGCAACAATTTTCTGTTTACAATAAAACCGTTTAACTTAAAAAGTTTTTTTATTTATTATAATATCATTGCATATAACGCATATAGCAAAACAATAAATATAAGTTTAAAGAATTATTTTTAATTGTCTAAACTTGGACCAACACCAAAAGAGGGCCGCTAACAGAAAATTACATCGTTAGAGTTAATGACTCAACATTTGTTTACAGCACGCCAACTCGTAAAGTTTCATTAATTCTGATAATAACTGTAGATAGTTCGATAGACAACGATGACCACTTATAAGCCAGGGATACCCTAATTGGGATATTAATCGAATGTGTAGATGGGTCCAAATTATGGCTTCAAATTCAAATGATATTTAGACGGGCAATGGAATTATGTTATAAGAATTCAAGTTGATCTAGTCGTCTGGTGCAGTGCAGAGGTTTAATCAAATAAAACCTACTTCAAAAGGTAATAAAGGTTTTATTTCATTGAAACTTTACGATTTCGAGGCTACTTTTTAACATAATAGCACAGTTGGATTTATTTACAATTTCAAACTCCTTGCCTGATTTACGAGATATCTGACGGAAAGATAATACTGCTTCTAGAATTGTTTGTTCTTACAAACTAAGTTATGAAAGACTATTGCTTAGAGCAACTAGTAAAATTTAGCATCTATACTATACCAGTAGCATTTGAATATTCTCGAGGAATCGAAAGAAGCATAATACTACTCGTAAATTCACATATAAAAGACACCAGTGCTTAGGCTTGGGTGAAGTATTTTTATTAGTAATATTATATATATAACTTTTAATAAAAAATTTTTTGTTTTTTTTAAATATGTTTAGTTGTATTCACATTTACTATTTGCAGTTCGTTACTTGGTATAATTACTAATGCGCCTAGCCGCCATTTTGATGACGTAATTGCGTTCAAAAATCGGTACCGTCAACAAATAAACACTGGTTGATGATACTCAACTTATTGAGTTGAGTTGTGTTGAGAGCACAACTCATTTTTGGTAATTTTTAGTTGGTTTCGATTGTTATTGTTAAGTTTTGTTGTTACTTGTTATGGTCAAATAGCAACTGTTCTATTATGATTTTCACAATAAGTAAACATAATTTCACTGATAATAAATATATCTAATGTTTCTCATTCCATTATTACTTTTGGTTATGTGTAAATGTCGTTTCCGTTTGTTATCGATTTATTACAATGTCAAAGTTGTTTTTATTTTCCATATACACATATGTTCACATATAAATTGTTTGTTTTCCAAAAATTCACGCAATAAATGAACAAAATAAAAGTTGTCAAATTATATTTTTGGGATTAATCATATTTAAATAAATAATTTATCTCTTGCCTTTTGTGCTATCTATACTTTCTATTTTCATATGACGTCACGCGGGTATTATTTAAGCAAGGTTCCAACGCTTTAGTAATTTACAGGACTTACAAGTATAACAATTGGTAATTAGGAAATAATAAGTATTAATAAATTATTTTGCTTTTATTTTGTTTTACTCTTCATTTTCTTGCTTCAAACATTATTAGTTACGGTACGTCTTGTTAGTTTATTCTTATAACTTTTATTAACCTTCATATTTCTATCGATGCCATATTTATTTGCTATTTAATCTAATTCTGACGACCTTCATGTTACCAGCGGATCGAGTCAAGGTAGAGTAAAAGAATAAATTGGAGTATAAAGTTTATTACAAAAAGGTTT